TACTTATCCTGTTTCTTCTTTTGTTTCATATAACCATTTATCATCATCTACTTGTTCGTTTATTGCATCCCTTGAATCTGTATCTATTCCTAAAATTGTTCATGAAGCTTTGTCTCATCCTGATTGGCGGGCTGCTATGTTGGAGGAGATGACTGCCTTAGATGACAATGGTACTTGGGATTTAGTGTCTCTTCTTGCAGGAAAGAAACCTATTGGTTGTAAATGGGTGTTTGCTGTTAAAGTTCATCTGGATGGATCAATTGCCCGTTTGAAAGTTCGCTTTGTTGCTAAAGGATATGCGCAGACTTACGAAATTGATTATTCTGATACTTTTTCTCCGGTTGCTAAATTGGCTTCTGTCAGGTTATTCATTTCCTTGGCATCTATTCACCATTGGTCTTTGCATCAGCTTGATATTAAAAATGCATTCCTCCATGGTGATCTTCAAGAAGAAGTGTATATAGAGCAACCACCAAGTTTTGTTGTTCAGGGGGAGAATGGAAAGGTATGACGCCTTCTAAATCCTTATATGGGTTGAAACAAAGTATGCGAACATGGTTTGGAAAATTCAGTCAGGTGATTGAGAATTTTGGAATGAAGAAGAGTAAGTCAGATCATTCTGTTTTTTATAAAAGATCCGAGTCTGGTGTTATCTTACTAGTTGTATATGTTGATGATATTGTAATTACTGGTAATGATTCATCAGGCATCCTATTACTCAAGTCTTTTCTTCATAGTCAATTTCGTACTAAAGATTTGGGAATGTTGAAATACTTCTAACAAGGAGCAAGAAAGGGATCCTTTTGTCACAAAGAAAGTATGTACTTGACTTGTTAACTGAAATAGGAAAATTAGCTGCTAAGCCACGTAGTACTCCAATGATGCCTAATTTACAACTTACAAAAGAAGGGGAATTATTAAAAGATCCTGAGAAGTATAGGAGGTTAGTAGGGAAGCTAAATTACCTTACGGTTACTAGGCCTGACATAGCTTATCCAGTCAGTATTATGAGTTAGTTTATGAGTTCTCCTACGACTGACCATTGGGCCGCATTGGAACATATTCTATGTTATTTGAAAAGTGCTCCTGGACGTGGTTTGTTATATAAAAATCATGGTCATCTTAATATTGAATGTTTTTCAGATGCTGATTGGGCAGGTTCTAAGGAAGATAGGAGATCAACTTTAGGATATTGTGTATTTGTTGGAGGTAATTTAGTTTCTTGAAAAAGTAAGAAACAAAATGTGGTGTCACATTCAAGTGCTGAATCAGAATATCGAGCCATAGCATAGTCTGTGTGTGAATTAGTATGGATATATCAGCTTCTGACTGAATTGGGATTTGGCATCACCACTCCAATGAAACTTTGGTGTGATAATCAAGCAACTCTCCATATTGCATCTAATCCAGTATTTCATGAACGAACCAAACACATTGAAGTTAATTGTCATTATGTATGTGAGAAAATACAGTAAGGATTGGTGGCTACAGGATATGTGAAGACTGGAGAGCAGTTAGGAGATATCTTCACTAAAGCATTGACTGGAGCATGGATAGATTATCTCTCTAACAAGTTGGGCATGATTAACATATATGCACTAACTCGAGGGGGAGCGTTAGAGTATATATTAGTATGTTTTACATTCTTTTAAATAATATGTATTCATTTGTCCTTTACCTTCCCCTTCTAGGATTAGGTCAACCTTGTATATTTGTCTATATATATAGAGACTTCAGTAATGAGAATAAGATCTATCTGGTTCTCTCAAACCTTAGTTTTTACAACTAGATAATCATCCAACTGAGAAGGAGCGAGACTATAGATGTATTTGAGAGTAGAGACTATGAATTCTTTAGATACATTCAATGGAGTGTCATCCGAGGGAAGATCCATAATACCAAGGTAACATCTCAAGAACTTCAAATAAAGATGACCCACCCAGGGAGTTTCTGACTATAAATAAACAAATCAAGTAAATGGACTCTTCAACTTTTGTATGTGTTTCTTACTCTTTCTAGTTTTGCTAAATGCTTGCAGAATTTAGTCGACCTGGCTGGTTCAGAGCGTGCTGCAAAAACCGGTGCCGAGGGTATTCGCCTTAAAGAGGGTTCCCACATTAATAAAAGCTTGATGACACTGGGAACCGTAATAAAAAAATTAAGTGAAGGTGCTGAAAGTCAAGGGTAGGTTTTTTCACTTCTTTGCTACCTAAAAGAAGGGTTATTTCCTGGATGCATGGTGACTTTTTTGAAATATATTGCAGGAGTCATGTCCCCTATCGTGACAGTAAACTTACACGCATCTTGCAACCTGCACTAGGTGGAAATGCAAACACAGCAATTATATGCAATATCACATTAGCGCAGGTATCATATTTTTGAGTTTGACATCTCACTTTTATCTAATTAATGTTTCTCATTTTTAAGTGCCTCGATCTGGTTATAGACTTTCTAGGCTTCAGCATTCTCTTGACTACTCAATTGCTTCATAATGTATGTTAGAAGAACATGCATCTGGTACTTTATCCTAATTTTTAAGCACCTTAATTTGGTGACAGATTCATGCAGATGAGACAAAAAGTACTCTCCAGTTTGCTAGTAGAGCATTACGTGTCACGAATTGTGCTCACGTGAATGAGGTTTTGATTTATACTTCGGTTTTATTTTTTCTTCCCCTCCTCTCAACTCAAATATCTATGCCTTTCCCTGTGGAGTTAATATTTCTTGGCCCCTTTTTGCATCTGGTCATTGTGCTTATTCACTTGGTTCATCTAGTTCAATACTTAAATTCTTTCTTGCAGATATTAACAGATGCTGCTTTGTTGAAGCGTCAAAAGAGAGAGATTGAGGAGCTTCGAGCCAAATTGCAGGTTCGACCATATCTATTTATTTATTTATTTTTCTTTTGGAAAAGGTCTGACTATATCTTATGGGAGGCAAAGTGATCTTAATTCTTAATTGAAACTCATTTAGAGTATTAATGGTTATGTGGGTTCAGGGTAGTTAATTTGAATTTTCTCTATTGACCTATTTCTGTGTTTTAGGGTTCTCATTCGGAGCATTTAGAGGAAGAGATCCTCAGCTTGAGAAATACATTATTAAAGGTTGGCAACAATCATTAATTTGATAAGTATTTCATTACGGGTGCACAACTTATCCTAGAAGTTTCTATATGCATGTTAGATTGAACTGGAGAGGGAGCGGATGGCTTTGGAGTTGGAGGAGGAAAAGAAAGTGCAGTCTGAATGGGAGAAGAGGGTGCAGCAGCAAGCTAAGAAAATTGAAAATTTGAGTTCAATGGTGCTTTATTCGACAAGAGATGAGAACCAGGATGAAATGAAAAAGGTTCATATAATAAAAATGTTGCATTAACATGTTTTTCTTCTTATTGTTATTTTGTACGTGTTCCATCTCTTTTTTTTTTTACAAATCTTTATTCTATTCGAGCTGACTATTATATCTAATTCTCTGCCCTCAATACTTTGTTTCTTATTGGTCTTCTCATTGCACCTGTATAGAGTTTACTTTATGAAAGCAATACTATTTCCTATTGTAGGATAAGAGACGGGATACATGGTGTCCAGGAAATCTTTCGAGGAAGCCCCTTAAAGAGGTAACATTGTTGTCTTTTAATTTTAGCATGTGGTTTGATTACGTGTCATGACTCCCTATTATTTGAACGCTGATGAAACCACCCATTTGTATGTTTTCCAAGTAGTTGAGTAGAGTTTTTGTCGAGTTGAGATATTTTTTGTTTACAGTTGGTTGCTTAGCCAATGATTGTAAGTAATCTAATGATGTAAGCTAGGAGGTGAGAATAGAGTATGCAACATGGATATTGGTCAGAAGGAAAACCAACTTCAAGGGAGAGAAGAGTAAATGTAAAAGTATAAGGAAAAATAGTTTCTAGGGGTAGTCATTGATGGGAGAGCTTGGTAGTCACTTGAAAATTTCCCAAATTTCATCTTATATTCATTTTACCTTTATTTTGAGCAAAATTAGAGTGGTTATCTCTATTAGATTTTTTCCATACACTTTCTATAATCGTGCTCATATATGAAATGTTTTTGCAAATTTAGGTCTATTCAACCACTCAATCTAGGGCTTCTGCTGTGAATCCTGTAAGATCTGATCGTGAAATGGGACCGCTTCTTCCTTTCGAGGAACTGGTGAATGATATTGAAGTTTCCAAGGAGGTAACCTGCAAAAAGGGTGAGAACGATCAAAAGAATGTATTAGAAGGATGTACTCTTCCAGATCCCTGTGTGTTATTGCATGTTACTAACAGGAGAAAGGTGGCACCAAAGAAGAAAAGCTTACCTGGAGTATGGCATTTGTCTTTTTCTCTATAGTTCTTAAATTGAAATTATGGCTATTAACAATCTTGTAAATTTGGCAGGACACTGATGTAGTTGATGTCCAAGCAGCATATGAAGATTTGCTGTTGAGGTCTGAAAGTGAGGTATTATCTAGTCTCTCTACGTTCCCCCGTTTTCTTAATCTTTCTTTCTTTATAACACTTATTCTTATTCTTATTGTTATTATTATTTTTGTAGAAAACTATGAGCGATATAAAAATTGATTGCTTAACAAGGAAACTTGCTGAGGTCGATCAGTCGTGGGATGCAAATTGTGGTGATCATTCTCCAAACTATCATGTCAAAAGAGGTGACTGTAATGGGGACAAACATATAAGTTTACGAGAATCCGAGGCTATCCTTATTACCAAGCGACTTCAAGAACGGGTGTTTTGATCATCTCTTACTTATTATTTTATGGGACAATTCGCTGCTAGTAAATGATAAATCTGCTTCAAGCATTTGATTCGTTTATTATTTTGGTCAGTTTCATCTCTTATTTGGGATTTTTTTGCCCTTCATTTCTGTCCTTGGTTTATTTGTTTTATTTCACAGATAAAGATTTTGGAAATGGAGAAATCTTCAAGTCAGAAGAATCTTGATAATGTTGTGGAGCTTGCCACAGAGCAAAATATATGCGCTCGGGAAAAGTTTGAAGAGGTAATTATGGTTCAAGTGCTCCATCTTCTTTACTTTGTTCTGCTATTTTAACTTGTCAATGGATATCCTTGTGGGTGCTATGTGTCACAACCATACTAGTAGAGAGTAGGTTGTGACGTCCACATAGTGGACAAGTGGTGGCGACACTCATGTGTTAGTATAAAGGTCCTTGACTACAGCATCACCTACATTTTTGGTTTCTTATGTCAGAGTTTCTTCTGGTTGTCTGTAAATGGTGCCAACTTGTCATTGTATAACCGTAGCTTTCTTCTCATTGGGATATTAGCTTCTGAAAGGCTTTGAATGTGACACTACCTCAGGTGTTTTAGTTGTATTAGATTAACATGTGTGATGCACATGAAACTTTAGTTTTATTTTACTGTATAAAAAAAATAAAGTTCGATAAATGAAATCCACAATCCCGTAGATTCTTGGCTAATCCACTTGCAAGGGGTCGTATATTGTGCTTCGGGGTTTTATTTCAATGTTCATCATGGGGTTCAGTAACTTTTTAGGGGGTTGGATTGGACCAATATCTCTTAGCTGGAATTTTCATAGTTTTTTCCTTCAGAGTTTTTTCCTTTGGGCAGTAGTTCAGAAGTTGATGTTCACTTTACAAAGAATATGGTTTAAGCTTCAGCGGTTGTTCGTTATTATAGCTTTGGTTCTGGGTTGTTTTTGCTGTTTGATTCTCCCTTGTTTGTCTAATTCTTCAATGTTGTAATTTGGCTTATGTAATTTCTGGGGACTTGCTATATTGGTTTGTTGGTTGTTTTCACTTTTATCCTTAAAACTTTTTTCTTTCTTTTTATTTATCAACAAAAAGTTTGTTTCTCATTTAAAAAAATGGTTTAGTTGAATATCAAAGATTAAAAATATAGTTACAAAAATTAGTACATGATTTACCTTATCTTTATATTAAAAATATTTTATGCATTAAATAGATACTAATTAACGAAGTTATTTTTTTCACCGTACAAAATAGTTTTGCAATGATAAATCTAATCCAACTTAGTTTACATCTATATTTTGTAAAGAATTTGATAACAGATCATAACACATTTGAATTTATAAATCATTTTATTCGATTTAAAAAATTACAATACAAATTATTCACCTCGTTGCAATCATTGAAGACTATTTTGTAAAACTAAAAAACTTGTATAGGTGGCACGACCATCGAAAAATAGGGAAATAATTTAGTCTATAAAAAAGGATGATTTTTCAAATTTAGAAAAATAAAGGTTAAAATATGAACAATATAAATAATAAAAGCAAAAACGGAAGCATAAAAGTTATCTTTTATAGCACATTTTTTTAAATTGATATTTATTTAGTTTAGGAAAACAAAAATAAGTTAACAAAAAAGAAAAAAAAGCCAAAACTGGGTTAAAAAAAGTAAAAAAAAGAAAATCATACTAAATGAATGAAAAAGGATAGGTGCATAACCAATAGAAAAGGTCTCCCAATAGTAATTCTTGGTTTTTCTTGGGCTGGTGCGAATGCCCTTAGGTACAGTGGAACGAAGCTCTGACTCCTAGTTATATAAAAAATAAATATACAGTAATTCTTGGTTTTTTGAGTCGGCTTTATTTGGCTTTGTTACTAATTAGTATTGCGTAGTTGGGTTCAAGTTAGTTTTTTAATTCTTGTAGCTATCTGAAGAGCTTCATTATGCACGTGAAGAAGCTAGGGTAGCACGTGAGAAGCTTATATGCCCTGAATCTGTAAGAATGCGTTCATAGACATTTCATCTTTAATTATGATTTTGTATTTTTTGGTCTTGCCCTTTCTCTCTATTCCTATGTTTGTATTTTTTATATGTTTGTATTTTTTACGTGTTAGAAGTTGTTTAGATCAAGGAACCTGTAATCAGCTTCCTCCCGATACACTTCTTTCAGGAAGAAAATTTTGACTTGCTGTCAAAACTTTTAGTGGAACTCCAAGAAGTAGTTACAGAAATTGAAAACTCTAAACAAATTTCTTCGAGTGTTTCTTCACTCGTCAATGATACGTCTCAGTGTTTTTCTGCTGTATCTGACATGTTGCATGTAAGTATTCTTGCAGTATCTCTTGGAGACTAGAGTTCCCTTTCCCTTGTCCAGCTCAAGGATTCTCCTATAGGTCTCATTAGTTGTGACAAAATGCAGGATTTAAAGACTATGATCCATCAATGTTCTGTGCAACAAAAGTTAGTTATCAATGATCATGAAGAGTTGAACTCCCAAATGTTGCAGAAAGTTTCCAAAATTGAGAATGAGAAGGTGTGTAGTGTATATTTGATGTATGTGCCTATGTGGTTATAATCTTTCTGCATCTTGCAGGCCAGTTTTAATTATTTTTTTATGGATGCAGCTTCTTCTGCAAAGTTACTCAGATGATCTCCAGAAGCAGATAGAGGTACTGAGACAGCAAGCTCAAAATTGTGAGAAGCTTTCGATGGTAAATGTTATGTTATAGTTTTTATTAGATGCATTTTTTCCGATCCTTCTAACTGGTGCGCTTGCATATTTGGTATTGCTGCAGGCTCTTTCTGATCATCAGAATATAGAACAAGCTGAATATCTTGCTCAGATCCAAACTCTTCAAAAGGAAATAACATGTTTGTCATCTAGTTCCCTTGCAAGGGAGAAGGAAAGCCTTAGAAAAGATCTTGAAAAAACAAAAGGAAAGTTGAAAGAGTCTGAAGTTAAGCTTAAGAATGCTTTGCAGGAGAAAACAAAACTTGAGGTTTGATAATCTTTCTTTACGTTCTTGAATTGCTTTAAATTTTGGCCATCAATTTAATAACACTTTTACAATGCCAGGGCGAGAAATCTGTGGCAGAGCGAGAGATTAAGCGGCTAGTTGGACAAAATTCTCTTCTTAAGCGTGATATCAATAAACGTGACTCTATTGCCGGTAGACGGCGTGATTCAATTATTGAAAAGAGTTCCAAGGGGCTTGATCCAGACAGAGTGAAATATGAACAAATATTACAGGTAACGCTATGTTGTTAGTAAACCTATTGATTGCTTTTTAAGTTAATTAATGATTAATAAGGTTTTAAAAAATGTCATATTTGCAATTATTTTATTAACTATGTTATATTTGCAATTACTTTAATAGATAATAGAAATTCATATTTCAAATATTTTTTAATGTTGAGAATTGAGATATCCATATCCATATATGAATTAAAGTTACCCAACCCATCCGCTTAAGCTTTTGGCTTGAGTGGTGGTTGATTCATCCTTAACATGGTATCAAAGTGGGAGGTCATGTATTCAATCCCTGCATTGTTATTTCCTTCCCATTTATTATGATTTCCACTCGTTGGGTCTTATTGCAATTTTCCAAGCCCACAAGTAAGAAGAGGTTTGAGATATCCATATCCATATATGAATTAAATTTATCCAACCTGTCAACTTAATTTTTTGGGTTGAGTGGTGGTTTATTCATCCTTAGCATTTAAAGTGATGTTATATTTAAGTTTTCCTAAAAGGACTGACTCACCCGAGGAGAGTCAAACATCTAACAACTTCCACTGTGTATCTTGTCAAAAACACCTTTGTAATTAATAAAATAGACCGTTTTCCCTCTGCAAGTGGACTATCAACAATCAATAGACCGTTGTCTATTATTATGCTTTTGAAATTAGTGATGAAGATTCACAATCTTTCCTCTATCATCCCATGTTAAGTTAGTGAATTGGTAATTAATAATTGTTAGCTTCTGTGTTGGTGCTTGAGATTTACTGGTTGATATTTTCATTCTTTAATCTTTTAGAGTGGTACGTTACTTGCATATTTTTCCCCACGTCTTCCTTTTCTGAGAGCTAAATTAGTTTTATCTTATTTGGGTATGAAGGTACCACATAATTGCACTAACGTACATACTATTCGTGTTAGACATTTCTTCATATTTCCTTGAGTGCACATTAGTCTTATCATCAACCATGCTCCCACATCCGTTAGTGTCATTATTTCCCGATTCTTCTTCTTCTTTTTTTTTGGGCATAGAGGAAACAAAGAATCATACTTCTTATTCATCTAAAAGTCGTTTTGGGACACAAGTGTTTAATGATTATTTGCTGATTTATTTTATCTGTTTATCAGGAAGATTACAAGAAGTTGGAAGTTTTTGCTTTTGAGTTAGAGGCGAAGACTGCTTCTCTGGAAGATCAATTAATGGCCACATACAGTGAGAAAGAAGAAGCAATATTTAGAAATGAAGGCTTACTTTCAGAATTAGAAACTTTAACTGAAAAACTGGGAATAGCAAACATACAACTGACTGCTGTACAGGATGTACCTGAACTTGTAAGCTTATGCTTTCATTTCAGAAAATAGGATGTTGGTTCTGTGTAACTTCTCTTTTCCTTTCTGAAACATAATATTTTATTTCTCTTTGTAGAAACAAAGCTTAGAAGAAGCTACACTTAAACAGAAAAACTTGGAAAGCTCTATAGGACTTTTGGAAGAACAAAAAGAAGAATTGGCCATGGTAATTTGTGATTATACTTTCACCTTTTTGTCTATGATAAAATAATGTTTGTTGAGTTATTCAGAAAACATATGGTGCGTATTTCATGGTTGGACTTCTTGGTGCATTTCCACCGGTCTTGTAGCAACTCACGGAAGCCCTTCTGGATATGGAGGAGGAAAGAGCAGTATGGTTATCGAAGGAGAAAGCCTATATTGAAGCAGTAGAAGAGAGAGTAAAATTACATGATTTGAAGGTGACATCCATGTCAAATGAAATCTCTAAGGTATGACTTTATGAGTCAACTTGTCAAGAAATCTGTGGTACCAGCCTGCTTGTTATTATGGTTTCTATGTTTTCTTTCTGTTTGAAGTTTTGGTTCTTCATGAGTGTACAGTTTAATCAAAAACCAGTTTCCTTGTTTTTTTTTCCCACTCTATTTTGGCAGCAACGATTGAATTTTCTAACCTATGTTTTATATTTTTTAGTTTGAGGTAATAGTTATTTTCAAGTGCTATTGGATAATTAATCGAGTTGTCCTTGTGTTGTTCAAGTCTGGATGTGGAGTTCGTGTAGTGGTTTTGACATTTTGTAAACTTACACAGTTTTCACAACTTTCTTGCTTCTATGTACAGAAAATTGTGTTGATTGTTACAAAACATGCTAAATGGTTGAAAAGATGGATGGTAATGATTTTATGAAACTATATGATATTTAATATAAGAAGATATAGCTGGAAAAAAATACGCATGCACTGGCTAGTACCCCAGAAAAGTTGGGTGGTCTTGGAGTCTGTTAGTACTAATATTCCATTTTGGTAATTTTTATTAAAAGTAAATATATTTTGTGCTGATTTGATTTTTGACACAGAAGTTGGTTTATGCTAGTATAAGAAAGAAGCAAAACAAACTTTTTAAAATTCTAAAGCAATTCCGTTTCATTCTCTATTAGAATTTATGGTTTAGGGTTTCTTTAAACAAGGTAAATACACGAGCCATTTATTAGTTCAACTTAAGGATGTTATTTAAATTTATTATTTTTAACATTTGTATTTATTTAAAAACTAAACTAATCTTAGAACATTTAAATTCTGTTAAATATGCGGCCTTTTGGCATTACATCAACCTGGGGTTATTACTTATTAGTTCAACTTCCCTCGATTCTCTGGATTACCAATATTGCCAGAAGCTGTATGAGTCAACATGGGCTACAAGTACACAGTAGACTGCTATAGTAGTTTTAGAGCTAATATAACAAGCAGACAAGCTATACATGGACAAACAAAGAGCTAACTTATCATCAAGTTATTATACGTTTTAAGAATTTGAGCTATATAAGAAAGGTTGGGACAAACGAAGTCATAAATAGTCATCAAATTGTCTCATGAATGTAATTTTACCAGTAATCCATTGATGTAATGCAAAGACAAGATGGTTAGTCCATTTTATTTTACAGTACATATTCCCGGCATTTCATGTCTCTTTTTTACTTGTCTGATGTTCTTACAACCTTTATGCATTTTAATATATAAAATTTGCAGTGCTTTCTTGTTTCGGTGGTCATAATGGTTAATCATTTTACAATCTAGGTGATGAATGATTTGGAGTCTTGTCGTGAAGAGTGTGAGGTACTTAAACAAAGATTGAGATGTTCTGAGGAGAATGAGAGAAGGGAAAAAGAATGCAGGTTTTTTCCATTCTTTCCTCTCATTTCTATCTTCAGGAGATTTGGTTGGTCATGCGCCTCTTTTTTACATAAATGATAAATTAATTGAAGCAGCAAAGTTAAAGGTGGTCTAATGTGTTACTTTGTTTAATAATATATGTAGTTATTCTAACAGAGGCGCTTAGGTCTTTTTTAGCATTTATACTATACAGTGCTATAACCTATTTGTGATACCTTTCTGTTATTGAATCCAAGTTTTTGATAGTTCAATTGCATGAGAATTTCATTAAGCTTAAACTGTGTACCTGATTAATATAATTTATTTCAAAAGTTGATATGGAGATATATAACAGAGAAAGATGCTTTATGGAAGAGGGTGATATGATGCTAAGTATGGAGCCCCGTCCAACAGATCACCCTCCCCTAAGGACTATACAATCACAGCCTTCCAATGGCTTGCTATCATGTGTAAACTATAATTACAAAATACTTTTTTGTAGTTAGTTGCCCACCAAGAAGCAAGACGTTGTAAGTTCAAACAAAAAGAATCATGAGATTATGTCTTATCTTCAAAAAAATCTGCTATTTTTTTCTTTCCAAAAGAGCTCTAGCCGCAAAATTCCACAAAACTGAAACCTTGCCTTTGCAAGAAGCTCCACCAAAACCTTCCAAAATAAAGTTGCCACTCTTCTTGCTACAAACAAGTGGAATGAGCAATTTTTGCTTGAAACGATGAGAATTCATTTCCCATTCTCAACCCTTGACCAATATGAGCTCGAGGTTTATTCGTAACTCTTGAAACTTCTTCACAGTAGCCGTTATATGCCTTATTTCATAGAGAACTTCAAAATAGCTCTATTTCATTATATTTCACCTCTATCCCAATTTCATTCATTTATTATTGACATATTGTAGTGGTGTCATTTAGATAAGAGATATGCTTAGAGCTTTATCTAGTAAACACAGACGTGAGTGCCAGCACGCATGTCACACATGGTCACCCTTGGGGCTCAGGATTTAAATGTCTGATCCTTTTTGTTTTCTTTTTTTTTTTTTTAATCTTGAATAGATTGGGGATACACAAAGACAAATGCTGAGAACATATGTAGGACACGTTTTGTGGCTAAAATGATGGGAAAATATTTTTTTAAATGAAAAAATTATATTTTTTTTAGTTATTACTAGCAACATTTACATCAAGGATCTAAGATATAAATAATAAAAACATAAAATCTATAGAAGCTAAGCTAAACAGGGAAAGAAAATGAATACATTTGACGTAATAGAATATAATGAAGTGGTGTGAGAAAACTTGACATGTGAGTATGATATTTGAGGTTGAGGTACATGCTTTTTTTCCAAATAACTTGTGTATTTTATTTGAAACTTGACTTTATTTCGTTGTTGGAACATCTCATGTCCATGGAGAAATATAAATTAGATTGCATTATCTTAATTTGCTCAAAGTTGAATGGCTGAGAATACATGTTTGTACTTTAGTTCTTTTATTATATAATTTATTAAATCTAAAAGAAATAACCTGAGAAAACTACAAATAATATGTGTAGAAGTGTATAAATTTTTTTTTTTAAATTAATATATTTTATTGAATGTGTCCTTGTTTGTTTATGTTCTAATTTTTTAGACATTTGTGTCCTTGCTTCTTAGGCTTGTTTCATCTATATTACATTCTTTGTACATGAAGAACTAAGTAAGCATATACATTGATTCATATTTTGTAAACTTCGCCTATTTTGTTGCAGCAAGGAGAAGTCATTTATTATAGAGAGCCTAAAACATGAGAAAAATAGAGCTGATGTTGAAAATGAAGCAGCTCAGCAAGTAAGTCCTATTACTTCAGAGTTTGTTTTGATGTGAACGTGACTGTGTGATACAAATAGTTCAAAGGAATATATTTTTTTTTTATGCTGGTCTTATAGAATTTGGAAGCACGTTGAACTCTTTTAACCAAAGAGGATTTGATTGATTTAATTTTTTGAAAAGAAATCAAGCCTAACAAAGAGAATCTAGAAAATAGAACTAAACTGAAGCAATTGATTCTTTTCATTATTTGTAATTTTCTTTAATTATTCTAGAACACATTGATATTTTCATATTTTCATTTGTACGATTGGAATATATGAAATTTAGTAAGCAAGTATCAACTAATTTTAATTAATTTATCTTTCTAAAAGAGATTGAATTCTAATTAAATGAAATTCAAGAAAGCTAACCGAGAAAAATAATTGAAAGTAATTAAAAATAATTAGAAAGATGAAAAGTAATTAAATATTTGAACATATATATTTTTTTTCATTTTAGTTTGATTTGATTTGGTTTGGTTTCGACACCTCTAATTAATAGTACACATATGGAAATTCATTGATGAAGCTGTCATGTGTGCAGAACTAATAAAAATAAGTTATGCCTTACCTTTAGTGTGAACTATAGGATTAGGGTAACATAACATTTGCTGTTAATTTCGCATCTTTATCTTTCAGAATATCAGAAACCAGCTTCTTCTTGTGACGAAGGAAAGAGATAATTTGATGATTCAGATTCAAGAGCGGCAGAATTGTTCAATAGAAGTAGAATTAATCAAAAATAATACCAGTGAGATGGTGACGACAAAACTTGTCTGTTTTTTTTTTTTTCTTTCTCATGTTGAGCCAAGTTGTCTGAAAAATAAACATGCTATATTGATGAATATAATGCAGTTAAATGATGCAAAACTTCAAGTGGAAAATTTGACCAGGAGAATTTCCAGCTTGGAAGTTAAGATGCATGATGTAAGTTCTTAATTATCTATTGCTTCTTACTAAGTACTAACCCTATGTTGCATTAAGTGGGAGGAAAATCCCACCCCTTATTGAATATTTTTTAAATAGATCTTTAGGAGCTACTGCATTTTAGAGATTATATTTTTTTTGTTCTGAACATGTTGTCAGGTATTATTGGTGTCATTGGGTAAGGAACACTCAGAAAAACTATATGCTAGATCTATAGTGCTGAGCTTCTAGGATTTGATACTAAAAGGGGGTTCTCTTCCAAATGAAAGGCACTTGGTGGGCAAAGATGAACTATACCTTTCACATTTATAGTTTCAGATGACATTATCCTTTTCCCTTCCATAGATGCCTTTTGGGTAAATCCATAAAAGGAAATAGAATTTGTAATCCTAGTTAATAGATGGAGATTGTCTTGTAAACCAAATGAATTATGACATAGAATGGTGCGTACCACATATAGGGGAAGGAGAATTTGGTTGGTTCACATAATCACAGAATCCTTGCTGTTCAAGAAGCCCTTGGCAGTAGCAGTACATTATGAAGCTCAAAGACAACTTTGAAAGGTTCTCGTCAATTAGGGTGGGAAATGACAACGTTCTTGTTTTTATTTTCCTTTCCTTCACTCTTTTGAGAGTTCGTTATCTTTGAACTATTATTGTTCCTTTTCATATATCAATGAAAAGTTCGTTTCTTGTTACAAAGAAAAAAAAGGCAAAAGCGTAGTGAAAGAATAAATGATCTTGACTTTCACCGGGAAAGGAACGTAAACAGTGGAATGAAGGCTGAAGTGAGAAGTTGAAGAGCTTCCTTTATAAAGTTTCTGAAGTATTCAGATTACCATTGAAAAGGATCCCAGATAAAATGCTGACCTTTCTTGGACTAACGGACTTCCTTGGGCCAAATATAAAGATTTTACTGAAAAAACCTTTGACGCTTCAAGATTCCACAGTAGTTTATCATCCTCTGTTGAAAAAGACACCAAGTTCAAAGTGGACAGAATGGGTAAATAATCCTCAGCCTCTGATTCTTTGGGGTTTCTTCTAGTTTCAACGATCCAAGAAGAAGAATGCCCATCCCAATTATCAAAAACAGAACTGAAGGGAAACTTTGCCACCGCATGAGGAAAACGATCTTTAAAAACCGAATCACCTAACCACAAGTCAAGCCAAAAGTAAGTTATTATACTGTTACCAACCTTGAAAATAGAAAACTGATGAACTTTTCTGGTGTATAACCAAGAATGAAAACTTTATTGATTTTTTGAATGCATGAAACAGAAGGGAAAGATGCCTTTTATAGGCTTCTGTTGGAAGGGTAACAAACTTAACTAACCAATTTACCAACTAACTTCTTGTTAAGATAACTAAACTAATTATTGTAAAATTATCAACGAATACATCAAATTCCCTCCTCCTAAGGAAAACTCGACCTCGAGTTTCAACATGCTAATTGAAAAGAGTCTGGTGCTCTGTATTCATATATATCCGCCACATTGAATACTGGCTGGATTCGCAAGTCTTCTGGAAGATTGATGCGGTAGGCATTGTCCCCATATTGGTGCAGGATTTCAAAAGGGCCTATCTTCTTGTCCCGTAATTTGTTGTAGGTTCCTTTAGGGAAACGTGACTTCTTAAGATGAACCATAACTAGGTCACCTATCTTTAATTGTTTAGGTCGTTTGTGAACATCAACATCGGTTTTGTATTGAGCAGCAGCTTGTGTTAGGTTGTCCATGACTTCTTTTTGTAGTTCTACGATCTTTCACCCATTTCCTCTACCTCGATACTGATATCAACAGAATGGGGCAAATTAGCAAGATCAACAGTAAGCCTAGGTAATTTAGTATACACAATCTCAAAGGAGGACTTCCCTGTGGATCTATTTTTCATATGGTTGTAGGCGAACTCAGCTTGGGCAAGAGTGAGGTCCCATTGCTTTGGCTTGTTTTGGCTAAGACACCGGATTAGGTTTCCCAAGGTTCTGTTGGTAACTTCCGTTTGTCCATCCGTTTGAGGATGGCTAGTGGTACTAAATCGCAATCCGGTATCAAACTTTTTCCATAGGGTCTTCCAGAAGTAGCTTAAGAATTTAACGTCCCTATTCGAGACAATAGTTTTTGGTATCCCATGTAGCCGTACTATATCACGGAAAAACAGATTGGCCACGTATATGGCGTCGGAAGTTTTCTTACATGGTAAGAAGTGAGACATTTTACTAAATCTGTCCACTACTACCAATACCGAATCATAGCCACGTTGTGTCTTTGGCAAGCCGAGGACAAAGTCCATAGACAAGTCCTCCCAGATAGATTTTTGTATTGGTAATGGTGTATATAGTCCTGTATTTTGGGATTGGCCTTTGGACTTTTGACATATAATGCAGCGTAAAACAAAGTTATTGACATCCTTTAGGATGTGCGGCCAAAAAAATCGGTCAGCCACCAGTTCAAATGTTTTAGTGGTCCCAAAGTGTCCTGCCAGACTGCCAGCATGTAAGTCTCGTATTAGGACTTCACTTAGAGATGTGTGTGGTCTACAGAGTTTATCACCCTTAAAAAGAAAACCATCCATGATATGGAAGTCTTCACAATTGACATGTTGCTGACACTTAGTCCAAATGTCTTTGAAATCAGTATCATGTTCATATAATGTAGGTAGGTGATCAAAAGCAAGGATTTGTCCAGCTAACAACGTCAGTAGGCTTGCTTTTCTACTAAGGGCATCAGCCACTTTATTAGTAACGCCTGCTTTGTGCTTTATTACGAAGTCAAATTTTTGAATAAACGATATCCAACGAGCATGCATCCGGTTAATGGTTTTTTGTGTTTGAAGAAATTTTAGTGAAAAATGATCGGTAAAAAGAATGAATTCCTTACCGATAAGATAGTGTTCCCATTGCTTGAGTGTCCGTATTAGTGCATATAATTTTTGTTGCACCACTTCTGTCTAGGGGGAGTTAATTTTTCACTAAAAAACTCTATAGGATGGTGTCGTTGTGATAAAACTGCCCCAATCCCCAAGCCTGAAACATCCACTGCTATTTCAAATGGTTGACTAAAATCAGGGAGGGCAAGGACGGGTGTGGTACTGAGTTTTTCTTTGAGGTTGTGAAAGCTTTGGTCTTGATCGGTATCCCATGTAAATTGTCCTTTCTTAAGGCAGGCTGTTAAAGGAGCGGCAATGGTGCTTAAATTATGGATAAATTTCCTATAGAATGAAGCTAAGCCTAAGAAGCATTGGACATCTCGGACAGTTGTAGGGGTAGGCCAATGTGTAATAGCAGCAATTTTGGTTGGGTCAACCGAAATACCGAATCGAGAGATGATGAATCCTAAGAAGGATATCTCAGTACAAAGAAAGGAGCATTTTTGAAGGTTAATATGAAGCTGATGTGTTTCCAATGTGTGAAATACTGTGCGTAAGTGAGTGATGTGGTCTTCGTGAGTTTTGCTATAAACTAAGATATCATCAAAGTAAATAACAACAAAGTGATTAAGGAAAGGAAGAAAAACCTGGTTCATTAACCTCATGAAGGTGCTTGGGGCGTTGGATAGCCCAAAAGGCATGACGAGCCATTCAAAAAGTCCTTCCTTGGTTTTGAATGCTGTCTTCCATTCGTCCCCTGGGTGAATACGAATTTGATGATATCCACTCTTTAGGTCGATCTTTGAAAAAAGCTGGGCACCATGTAACTGATCCAATAAATCAGATAGACGAGGAATAGGAAAACGATATTTTATAGTTATCTTGTTAATGGCACGACTATCCACACACATATGCCACGAACCATCCTTTTTAGGAGCCAACAAAACTGGAACAGCACAGGGACTCAAACTTGGCCGGGTGTGACCTTTGTTGAGTAACTCCTGAATTTGTTCATGGAGAATGTGATACTCTTTAGGACTCATGCGGTAATGAGGAAGATGGGGTAAAGTAGCTCCCGGAATGAAATCAATCTGATGTTGTATGTCTCGTAAAGGAGGGAGGTCAACAGAATCTTGGCTTAAAATGGGAAATTCGGATAATAACTCCCGGATTTCGGGTTGGTCAAAAGTTGCGGAGGGAGCAGGTGTGTCATGTTTCACTACTAAAGCCAAAACGACAGAGTCCTCCTTCTGGATGAAGGTTTTGCCTTTAATAAGGGAAAAAAAAGGTGTAAGATTGATGTTCTTGTCACGTTTCACGTTTCTGGTGGAAGGTAAGAGGATAATCTTTTTGCCCATCCACGTGAATTCATATGTATTATCCCTCCCCTTGTGGATTGTTTGGAGATCAAATTGCCAGGGACGGTCGAGGAGAAGATGACAGGCATCCTTTTCCAAGACATCACAAATGATTTGATATCGATATTGGTTTCCAATAGAAAGAGGTACGGTGCATACTGAATTTACAGTAGCTTCACCTCCTTTTCGTATCCAAGATACCTCATATGGGTTAGGATGTGGATCCACCTTGAGGTTAAGTGCAGACACAAGTTTCTGAGAAACCATGTTTTCACTACTACCGCTGTCGATGATCACATTACACATTTTACCATTAATGGTGCAGCGGGTCCGAAAGAGGGAATGTCTTTGCGGTTGGAGTTCAACTTTGGGAGTCAAAAGGATCTTTTGGATCATACAGTTGACAAGATCACCTTCATCGGCTTTGACATATGCCGTATCATTGTCCAAGATGTCATCATCCTCCGGAACATCAGGTTCATCCTCATCAACCAGGGCAATCGCACATCGTTGAGGACATTCATTGGAGAGATGCCCGACCTGCCCACAACAGAAACATTTGCCCAAAGTAGGGTGGGTATATTGATTAGTACCTTTTCGTGTTGGTTGATCGGGGATTTAAAAGGAAAAGAAGACTTAGTTGGTTCTTCAAGATTTTTGGCAAGAGTAGGAGTGGATGAAGTCCCCGTGCCCAGTGGTTTGCTTGACTCAGGAAGAGCAGTTTTAGATGAAGATGCTTTGTCCCAAGTTGTCCGACGTATAGGAGGCTTCAATCGTTTCCGCTCAAGTTTCTCTTCAATCTTGGTAGCCATGGTGATTGCATCGGTCAACATATTGATGGGTTGGACATCGAATTGATCTTGAATGTCCTCTCGAAGACCATCTACAAATCGTGTGATCTTGTAGTCCTCTGATTCGGCCAAGTTAGTCCTTGCACCAAGCCGGTGAAATTCTTCAGCATAATCGACGATGGTCTTCAAACCTTGACGGCATCTCTGATACTGTTGATACAACAGTTGTTCGAAATTAGCTGGCAGAAACCTTTCACGCATCAGACGGAGCATCCGTGGCCAGCTATGAATGGGTTGTTTTCCTAAACGGCGGCGATTGATCTCAAGCTGATCCCACCAGGCAGAAGCTCCGGATTGCAGTTTGAAGGCCACCAGACGGACCTTCTTATGTTCAGGCGTGTTGGTATAATCGAAGAAATTCTCAACGTTCTTGACCCAATCCAAGAACCCTTCGACATTCATCTTCCCATTAAAAGGTGGAAGATCTATCTTGGTGACAGTGTTCGCTGTGGTCTCCACTGTGGGTCCCTTGCCGGAAGGCGCTGCGGTCTTTCCAGCCATCAGATCCGAGGAACTTAGCTCAGGGCTCTGATACCAATTTGGTGTATAACCAAAAGTGAAAACTTTATTGATTTTTTGAATTCATGAAACAGAAGGGAAAGATGCCTTTTATAGGCTTCTGTTCGAAGGGTAATAAACTTAACTAACCAATTTACCAACTAACTTCTTAATAAGATAACTAAACTAATTATTGTAAAATTATCAACGAATACATCACTTTCTCCAGTGCTTGGAGATATTGGTCCAGGGACACCTTGAACGGCTATTTTCTTTTTCCAAAGTATGCCAATTGAAGGAATCGATACTATACAAAGAATAAACTTCGTGCTCCACCTCCATTTGGCAAAAAGAACTTTATTTTTCTGCTTAAGGCCTCCAAAACCCAAACCACCTTCACACAACCGTAGGGAAGTCGCATTCCAGCGCAATAGATGTTCTAACTTACCTTCGGAGTCACATTTCCAGAAAAAATTCCGCAGAAACCGCTCAAATTCCTTACAAACTGGTGAGGGCATTTGAAATAAAAACATGTAATACGTTGGAATGTTAGCAAGAACTGCATTACAAAGGGTTAATCTACCACCTTTTGAAAGCTGAAAACGAGAGTCCAACCATCCAACTTATTCGAAATTTTATCTTGAATGGGCTGCCAAAACATGATAGAATTTGGTTTCCCCCGAAGAAGCATGCCTAAGTAAATTCCGCCTTGCAATTTAATCTGGAAGTGGAAGCTAACTAACTTATCCTTAAATGATTAATGTTGATTCCACAAACTGAACATTTATTCCAATTCACCTTCAAACCAGAAAGTCATTCAAAAACCTCAATCGTATTAAGTAAAGAGTTCAACTTACAGTCATCATCTTTACAAAAAATTAATGTATAATCTGCAAATTGTAGATGTGAATCACTGTCTTTTGCCCCAAAATGAAGCCTTCAAAAAGTAAAAGCCCTTTGGCATGAACATTCTTCAAAAGACTACTCAAAGTCAAAACATCACTCACTAAGAGGAAGAGGAAAAGGAAAGGAGAAAATAGATCTCCTTACCTTAAACCTCTTCTACCTCGAATACTTCTGGAGCTATTGTATTCGCTTATCCTAATTTCAGTTATTTGGTTTGTAACAGATTGGAATAAAGGTAGGATCCTTGTATCTTGCTGCAAATTTCATAAATCATATTTGATTGACTTCTTTTGCTTTTACTTTAGTTTTTTGAGCTGAGAGAGGATATTGCACCTAAGAAAATAAGAAAACGTATTTATTTACAGTTACATGTTATGTTATCTTGTGCAAGGGAAAAATGACACATTTTTTGCAAACAGGACGAGGTTCAGAATGGCAAGGAGAAAGCAAAGCTTCGAATGAGACTACGAGGAACTCAAGCAAAGCTGGATGCATTCCGCATTAGATATCAGGAAGCGCTGGATGAGTCTGATCTCATGAATAGAAAGTTTGAAGAGGCTGCTGGGAAGTTGAAGGACATGTTGGCTTCTAAAGGAATTGAGGTTCTCAATCTTAAGAAGCAACTTGCTTCTGTACAAGGACTGTGAAGGGAAGTACTTATTCAGGTGTGTGTCCATAATATTAAATTACGCTAAACTAAAAGTTTAGGTAACATCAATGCCTCTTGTTTGTAAATGTTTCTTTGATGTACATGAGCTAAAAGTGATAAAGGTTATAACTTTTTTAACCATTCGATCTCTCTTCGCATATGACGAGAAATGCTCAATGATAGGTTTTCATTTGTCACTATCTAGTACTTAAAAGGGGGTCTCATTTGTTTACCGATCTCACTGAAGTATATGATTGATTCGAAGAATATGTTAACATTCAAGCGGTTGTAGATGATACACGTACATTTCTCGTATCAACATATTTTATGGATGTGAAGAATCATGATTTTTAGTAAAAAGTACATTTATTTGAAAGGTTAGCTTATTTTCAAACATATTTATGAATCAATTGTAGTAAATTGTGGCATTGATTCTTATAAATGTATTAAATAATCTCATAATCATCTCTTCATTCACTCCTACATGAGTTCGAATCTCTCGATCCTCACTTGTACTAAAAAACACAGAGTGGAATAACGTAAGCATCCATGTCTAATTATAAATGTGCAAGGTCACATTTGTATGTACAACTTCGTCGTATATTCAAATTTTTTCACCTTTAAACAAACTTGATTCATAGTATTTGTACACGAAAGCATGCTTGATTTCCTTGCATTTTGTATTCACTTGAATGTGTAAATAGTGACTTCTACATGCAAATCTCCTTGTTTTATGCAAGAAAAGTTGAAAACTGTCGCAACTTTTTTCAGTTTCAATCCTCAGAAGGCTCTAAATTACAATTTGAAGCACTCCTAATATATTGTTCCTAAATTTATCTTCATTATGAAAGAAGTAAACAAACTTATATATTAATATATAATCTTCTTTTCTGAAGACATTTATGTATTCAATCAAGTGTTGCTTAGATTCTTCTTATTTAAATATTTATATGTCCAAATGTGATTTGTTAGTTTATAAAATCTTTAGAAATTAAATCTTTATGCTGCATGATGAAACACTCATACTTGCACGAATCTTAATATGGATTGTAGGGTCACATGTTTTTGAAGATCAAGTGAAGTGGTTGATAAAATACATGCGATTGAATTTCAACTATTTGAGAGCGTTTATTAAGTAGTAGGGCTTAATAATGAAATTTTTTGACTAAATAAAATTAAAGCATGCTATGTAGATGATATAGAATAAGAAAGTTACTGTCAAAATGGGCATAGTTCAGCGGTAATTGGTATATATCTTCAACCAAGAGGCTGCGAGTTCGGTACTCCACCCCCACTATACGAATGGATAAACCAAACTTATCTTGAATAATTCAATGTCATTTGATTTGGATAAATGGCAATCATTTATCAATAGGTGCGTTAATAAAAAAGAATTATACAATACCCTTATACTATGGAACTCTTCCTTAGAACTTCTTTAATAAGCAAACTCGTATTTCTCAAAAAAATAAATAAATAAAAATAAGCAAACTCATAATTTTTTTTTTCGAGTTTGTTCAAAAAAGAAAGATTAGAATCCAAACATCTAACCTTTAAAAAGGTCACTAATGCCTTGATCAATCATGCCTAGAAAATTGCATCATGGAAACCTATTCATATATAGGTTACACAAATTTTGTTTGGTAGCCATCCTTTTTACCAAAATTAATGTGTGATATCAAATCTTAATTTCCTTGTAATTTACTTGTTTCAGCTATAATTTGACCAAAGTGAAAACTTAAGTAATGGTAACAAGATTAGTGCTTCATCAAATTGTAATCTATTTAGATATGTCAAGCACGTGTTCATCTAGATTCTATTATGCTATAGTGAATCGAAATATCTATTTAGTGGAAGGTAGGGTAGAACTTGATTTATTGTAATTATTTTTTCTTTTCTAGTACAACATGTAGGAGTGGAGTTTGAACTCTCAACTTCCTGGTTGGACATATTTGTCAATTACTATTGAGTGATGCTCGCTTTAGCGGTTTATTGTAATTCAGTTTTATTTGAAGTATTATAAGTTATAACCCAAGGTTCAGTACAGTTTAAAATGGATAAAGAGAAAATTGAACATCATCCATTTGTACTGCTTCAAGTTTTAATCATCTCTAGGAGGCCATATTCAAAGGATTAAGCAATTTAATGGAGGTCAAAACAATTTCAAATTCGAATTTGCCCTACGCATAAAATATTTCTTTTAATACGCATACATTTAACAAGATTAGGAATATAGAGGGAATATCCTTCTTTAAGAATGCCTATGCTAGTGCTTAATATGAGCAAAAATTAAAAAAAAGAAAAGAAAATTGCAATCCTCTATTATGGTTCCAAGAAACGCCTAAAGAGTTCGAGGCATATATTCAAGCAACCCCTAAAGAATACATCAAACAATTACTGATTGGTACCACCCTAAACAAGCACCGAGAAAATGAAACTTATCGCATTGAGTTACGTTATAGGCAAAGCTTTCGATTTGACAAATAGTTGATGCTCCTACTTTTCAAATGGTTGAGCTCGTGTCTTTAGGGTTAATAAGCCGGACTTGCGTTCTAATGATTTCATAGATGTAGAAAAAGCTGAACAATCATTTAAGCTTCAGCTTTCTATTTCATTTTTCATAAAATCGACAATAAAACATGGATTTTGAGTTTTGTGAATTAAGGACTCATGATTTCAAGAAAGTGAAAATGATTCATGAAATTGTTACCTATGTGGATAGGCCAAGCACACATGTTCATCTACATTCTGTGGTGCTAGGTTACCAAACCGCCTATTCATAGCTTCATCAAACTTGTCATTTAATGTCCAAATCAAACGAATATCCATATTTCCAATTCGATTCGAAAAACAAATTCTAAACTGATATACAACAAACCAAACTAGCTGTTAAAATTTAGAATGAAAAACTAATTTGTCTATCATATATGATTAGTCCAAAGTACCTATAAAGATTCTCACTAGGAATTTCTATATTTAGAATAGACGAGGTCATTTAACTAGTTTTTTATATGATTAGTCCGGAGGACCTACAAACGTCTCAAGTTTTCTAACTGATTTTTTTATAATACCAATTTTAGCTTTATTTATTGCATTTATTATTATTATAGTTATTCGTTTTTTTTAATTCAAAAGATTTAAATCTCTCATCCTTCTAATTATCGTGGGTCCACAAAAATTTTCAACACTAGTCCCTTAATTTATCCCTTCAAAAAAATTTATTCCCAATGATTTATCAATATTATTAATTACAAAAATTATCCAATTTCGTCTCTCTCCTTGTGTAATTTCTCACCGATTGTCGGAAGCCACCACCATTCGGACCATTTCGATTTTTATTCAACAGGTTTCTCTCTGTTCCCTAATCTTTAATTTACTTTTTATTGTCATTCTTGTCTAAAAGATTTAATTCCACCGGCTGCTCTGTCTTACTGTTTTCTGGGTTGTGGCTGAAATTTTTTTAGATTTAGTTTGCTCTGGGTTGTGGTTATCCATAATAACAACATTTGCTTTCAAAACTTTTGTCAGTTCTTTCTTACGGCCGTTTTATGTTTTTTTTGTGACTTATCTTTAACATAAGGTAAGTAACGAAAAACATCGAATTGATTGACGTCAATATTGAAAGGGGAAGAAAGCATATAGTTTATCTATACATCGAAAGAAACATGTGTACGAATGAATGTGTTTTTTCTTAATTACAGTTTATCTATATATATATATAGATACATACATACGTATGTATATGTATGTATATGTACATATATATAATTATAATTATGCATTCAATTAGATTTATGTTGTTTCGTTATTTCATTTTTATGTTTATGTTATATATAGGTTATAACATATATTCTACTTGTATTTTTGAAATCTAATATTATTAATTCGCGATGTAATTAACATTATTGTTAAAGTATATATTAGTATATTTTATATTCTTGTATTAATATTAATTTGTCATTTACCTCCTCCTGATAGGATTAGGTCAACCTTATATATTTGTTTATATATATAGACTTTGATAATAAGAATACAAGACATTGGATTCTCTCCAACCTTAGTCTCTACAATTATGTATATACGTCATTAAGTATGATATAACTTCCATATTAAGTATTATTAAAGAATATTAACAATTAAGTATTCATTTTTATATTTCTAGGATATAACGTATACACCGTGAAGACTTTTGAAATCAAATATTATTATGGATACGGTGAGTGTAATATATATACGTATTAATATTGTTTTTAACTTTCATACTATGTATTATTTAGACTTATAGAGAATAATTTGATATAAATGTCAATGATTTGCATTTTTATAAATATTTGAACTTTATACATTATAAATCTGATACACCCATTGAGTATATACAAGAGTTCACACAACTACTTGAACATTATAAATTATATTCGACTAAACTTTTTGAGTTATAAGATATATCTGGATATAATCAAAATTCCATATAAATTTTAATATCTTACAACTATCTTCAAATTACTTTAGTTAATACTTTCAACTAAATGATTCTAACTATTTCTATATGTTATCCAATATACCCAACCCAACTCATTATAAGGAATCAAACTCAATATAAGATATAACCTCATATATACAATAATTCACACCTAAATTTTGCACAACTGAAATCGTATTTGAATCTTTGAAATTGTGTTGTTAAACCCTACAAAAATATATATATAGAGGAGCAACAAAAATTAGTAACAAAAGGGAGAGAATATTGTTTATAACAACACACGAAATCAGAAATAAAAAACAACCATTGAAGATATATGGGTATGGAAGGGGTTTTGAAGGGGTTTAACCGTACAAATAAAAAAAAAATCAGGGTTTTCAACATTGTTCAAATCTGAAATAAAAAACTAGTAGGATATATTGGAATGCAAAATTATCGAAGTTTATATGGTGAGACAAAAAAACGTCGCGATTGGGATAAACGGAGACGGAGAAGAACGGAGGCGGCAACCGGAGACGAAGGAGCGGGCAGAAACAGAAATGGAAGAAGCAGAAACGGAAGGATGTACTATGATACAGACTGTTCGGTGATGAAGAAGAACGGAGACGGCGGCTAGAGATGAAGGAAAGCAGACGACGACCGTAGACGCAGGAATCAGACGACGATCGGAGACGCAGGAACGAACGGAAGACAGAGGAAGAAGAAAAGTCGGAGGAAGGGGTTTTCAATTTTTTTTTAAAATGGAGGATTTTAGGGATTTTGTATTTCTTTTACTTTTGAAAAGGCAAAATTTAAGGTGTTTAAATTATAACATTCCAATTAACCAATGATAGATTCTAAAAGGGATAATTATAGTATCGCCATCAATATACTTTGAGCTAACAAATAGTCATTTTTGGTTTCAATCAAATAAAAAATCCAGAACAAAGATTCAAATAATTAGGTTGAATAGTCTTTTCATCCTTATTTACAAATGGGAACAAAGATTATGCAACCCTTCATTTAGTAAATGGCAAGTGCAACATCATTAAAACAAAATTTAAATAACCCTTAAATTTGGAAGTTCTTAACTTCAAGCATGGCATCTCCAAGTCTAAAGCGTTTTGATTACAATCCCTAATTAATTATTTTAAATACCATCCGTAATTTTGAAAAATGTTTATTTAGTCTCTATATTTTACCATCAAAATATTCATTTGGAATGCCTATTAGTCACCAATCCATTAACAACTAAAAAATATATTTGGGATTAATAGACATTGAAATTCTTTAAAATTCATAATTTAGTCATAAAGGTCAATTTCTGAGTGTCCACGTCACCAAAATCTCATTTGGTAGAATTGAAAGTTCACATCACATTGGCAGTTTAATCTTTCCTTAATGAGATAAATTATATTTAGAATCTATCAGAAAGAATGCGTTAAAAAAATCAACCTTTTTTTACATGTTATATTTTAAAACACGTGAAATGAGAACGTTATCAAACTAGCCTTAAAAGTTTGATAAGAAGCGATTTCATTGAATTTTTAGAGCACAGTGTTGGAGTAGTTCGCTGCTGTGTTTGTTTTAAAATATAACCGAAGGCGGCTTTGCTATCGAGACTACTATACCACCGAAGGGCGGCAGGCAAAGCTACAAGGATCTCGTGCGGCTTTCTTTGTTCTCATGTCAGAGTGAGGGGCCTTATCCATCCGCCAATAGAGCCGGCTTTTAGTGAAGATCCGCTCATATGCTGCATGAGGGGCGGCAAAAGGCGGCTTTGCTCATGAGTTAGCGATCAAGCGGAAAAGGACCTGCTGGTTTCTTGTCTTTCTGGAGCAGAGCAGCCTTGCTCGTAGCTCCCTATTGATATAAAAAGGGATGAAGGATGAAAGAAAAAATAAGAAGCAAGTCTTGAGGGAGTAAAGAACCACCGTTAAGTGGTTCTGCGCCAAGTGCGATCGATTGTCCTTCCTTTATGTGTTTCCAAAACTTTTATACAATTTTGAGAATGTTTCTAACACATGAGAATCAATAAACATAAATAGTTAAAAAAAGAATTATTAAAAAAAGAATTATTAAAAAAAGTGTCTTAATAAAATTAGAAACAAAAAACAAGAACGTCGCAAAACGGGCCCTTAACGGGAAAGAGTGTCTATCGCTTTCAATGAAATTTAAAGCATTAATCATTGGCTACACATTAAATAGCTATGGTAAGGCTTAATTCGTCTCTACAACTCATATCTCTTGAGCAGAAAAAAAAATGCATTCCTATATTATGGTTCCAAGAAACACCTAAAGAATCTTAAGGCATATTTCATGAAATAATAATTAAAACATATGAAACAAGATGGTAGAGGTACTGATATTCAAACTTAACTGGATGCAGGGCTGTCAGCATGGTTCACCCTACATTCCATTTCTCTGCCAAATCTTTGCAAATATCCGCAATACAGCAACTAGCACTGAGAGGATATTCAGAAACTGCAGAAATATAACAGGAAATATTGTCGAATATAACGTATTTAACTTCATCGAAAGTATATACTACCAGGGGAAGGAAAAAACGACATTTTAGCAAATGTAAAGCTCACACAATTTATGATATGTTTGGAGTGGTATTAAAAGATTAAAGCATTTTCTGAATTCTACCTCAAATGTTTACATTTGAATGTTTGCGTAATATTTAGAAGCACGAAAGTCACTAAGTGAGTTTTGAAAAAACCAAGAAGCAATTGATATGTGATTTATCAAAAGTGTAAACTTCATACACACTTTCTTTTCCTTTATTTTCTACCTTGATACACTACACCACAAGTACTTAGAAAAATTCAGTGGAGGTAAAAGTTCCCATCCAATCTAATTACTCAAAATAAACACACAAAAATGAAGAACTCACTTGCTAAAAGATCATCCGTGTAATCTGTCTCAATTTTCCCATGAGCCATTGCACCCAACTAGTATAGTTCAGCAAAGGAGAGTTGTTCATATATATAATTATAAACATAGAAATGAAGTATGAAAAAAAGTGGGATTTCAGTTCTGAGTTTTGAAGATACCACAAAAACAAGGTCTGCATCAGTTCTGACATCATCCAGATAATTTCGCATCTTGACCAACTTGTCTGAACTATGTGAGAAGCCTGATAAGCAAGAACACAATATGAACAGTTCCAGCAGAAACACAAAACTCGCATGTACTTGGAGGGGAAGAACATTTACGCTTACCGATTTTACGAGAACTGGCAGGTAAATACTGAGTTACGGGGTTCTTTATCACCCGAAAAAGTTTCTCGCGCTTACCCGCAGCTGTGATGCTCAACTTCTGTAGCAATTGCACTGCAAATTATGTGTAAAAAGATCAATGAAAGAGAACATGGAAACAGATAACTCCACTGATCAAATCTCATCCCAACTACAGAGATGTTCTGGAAAATTGGAACAAGCAACTCCACTTACACATAACTCCATAGAACCGTTTCTGCGTCCTAGGAAGACGAACATATGGTTTAATTTCAATCAGCAAACCTTTCTCAGTTTTCACATAAACAACTTTCAACCTCCCAGCCTTTGCAATGCGGCTATCGAAAATCGCCAAGAGAGCCTGAATCATTTATATTTAACGTCAGTTCCCTCTCTCATTTACATTTCCCTAAAACAATTCCCTATCCAATTAACAACAGTGAACTACTTACTTGATGCAGGATATCGGGTCTGTAATCCCCCGGATTTCTGTTATTTCTCCGCAAAAAATTGGAGTGGTCATCGGAATTCAACAGCTGGTAACTCTATAAGCACGAGGAAACATTGAAAATTTGAAACCAGTTCAAGAACAGAGAATTGAAAAACACCCAAATTGAATGGAATCCTAAAACTCCAAAGCGGTAAAAGATTGGTACCTTCCCAACTTTGGCGACCTCCAGAGAAGCTCTCTCGAGGACGAAGATAGCACCAGCAGTGTTGTCACTTCTGGGGTCTTTTGGAACGACTGGAATACCTTCAAGCTCATGGAAATCTTCTTTGGGTGGTTCTCCATCGGGTTCATTCTCCACCATAGGCTTCTTGGGCGGCGCTGCGACGGATTCTCCGTCGTCCTCCTCACTTCTGTCGTATTTCTCCGTCTTTTTCCTCTTCTTCCCCTTGGCCGCAAATGGACGAACCATGGTTGGGCCTGGAAGTTCCTTCACAGTACGCGAGAAGAGAAGAGAAGAGAAGAGCGGTGTAGCCGACGCCTTGGCGCTGAAACCCTTGGAAAGCTGAAATGGCTGCCTCGACGAGCGACCACAAAGCCCTGGGTCTGGGTTTACGCCTCTGGGCCTGGGCTGGGCTTTGGCTTGGCTGTAAAATTTTTCTGATTGGGCAAATCGAAGGTTTTGGACCAGTAGCTTTTCCGGTCGGCTCTTTGTTGCGCGGTGCTCCAAATACTATAACTACATAAAATGATTTAATATACAAAATTTACACTTTTGTGATGAAATAATCTCACTTAAGATGGTACCCATACTAATTACCAATATATCCTTTTGTATTTACACCTAAATATTTATTTTGGAGGTTATATTTTAAATCCCTTATTTTGTTTGCCTAATTAGACTTTCCAAAAATAAGAATTACCAAATCCTCAAAATCCTCTATTATTACAAATTTTCAAAAAACACCTACTCCTTCCGTCGTGTCTTCTTCCTGTCTCGTTTACTTTCCTTCCACAAACACCATTGTTCCCGTCCGTTTGAGCTTCTTCTTCGTTGTTGGAGCAAATCGTTATAGCTTCTTCTTCTTCGTCGGCTGCCCGTCCACAAACATCATTGTTTCGTCTGTTTATCTTGAGGATTGTTTAGTCGTCGATCAAAAGGCCATAACAGACCGTAGCTAGCAATATCATTCCGGAGCAAACTGTTCGAGCTTCTTCTTCGTCATCGGCCGCCCGTCGACCGTTCGAGCCCTCCATTTATCCTGAACATTGTTTAGTCGCCGACTGGAATGTTTGTTTTGTCTCACCATGATATATTTTGCATACTAATATATCTTCAAAGTTTTCGATTTCTGATTTGAATAATGTTGAAGACCCTCGATTTTTTATACTGTTTAACCCCTTTGAAACCCCCTTTATGATGGTACCCATAAGTATTAGTTGATTTCATAATGGTATATTTTCCATACCCATATATCTTCAATGGGTGTTTTCGATTTCTGATTTTGTGTGTTGTTTTGAACAATATTCCTTCTATTTTGGTACTGACTTTTGTTTCCTTATATTTTTTGTACGATTTAACAATAAAACTTTAAAGATTCAAATATGATTTGAGTGGTGTAAAATTTAGGTGTGAATTATTGTATATATGGGGATGTAATATATATCTACAATTGAGTACCAATTTGGTAGTTATAGGAACTCAATAGTTGGATATATTTTATATTGAGTTTGTTTCCTAATAGCTCAGTTGAGTTCGGTATATTGGGTAAAATATAGAACTAGTTTTTGAAGATATTGAGTTGGGTATATTGGGTAAAATAAAGAACTAGTTAGAATTATATTTGAATTAGAGTATTAACTAAATGAGATGGTTGTAAGTAATTTGAAGAATACGTTAGAGATATTTTGATGAAGATTTAGGGCCATTGAATCCCAATAACTCAAGCAATTTTAGCATCAATTGGAGACATCCTTGATAACATATATATTATATGTAGGTATAATTTATCTACACGTAAGTACCAATTGGGTACTTATAGGAACTCAATAGTTGGATATATTTTATATTTATCATTTAGGTTTATCTAGTAATTGTATTTGATTGCATTGCTAGGTTAATGTTATAAAGAGCAACTCATAATAATGAAACATGTGCTAGGGTGGCTAAATTGATAGAGTAGGTAATTTGAGCTTTGTTTGTTACTTGCAGTTTGATGTGACATTGTTTAAGATTATTTGAGATTGAGAATTCAATAGTTAAATATTATATTCAAATGTATTTAGTATCTATCATTAAGTACCAAATTGCCATATACAATTCAGTTATGTTACAGTCGAAAACTTTTGATGTTATACTTCCTAATATCATTAATTACAGAAAATCATGTGCTTTTACATCTATTCGAAATCAGAACCATCTAGGATTAATGAGTTCTCTACTTGCTCCCTCTTAATCATTAACCTTATCCAATATTCATTGTGTTTTGATTCTCATATTTCTATGTCTTATGTATACAATATTCATTTTGTTTTGATTCTCATATTTCCATGTGTTCTGTATTCATCTCTAAAACTGTCGTAAGAACTTTTCGGCATAAAAACATTTGAAAGTAAACTACCAAATTTGTAGTTTGGGTGGTTTATATTATATCTATAAATTAGTACCTAGTGGGTAGTTGATGCGATATATTTTATATAAATAAATAAGTACCAAGTGGGAAGTTTATATAAGCTTAATATATTGTTTCGAATTTGTTTCATCTATTGGCGCAAATAGCTTATACTAGTATTAGGTTTTACTTTTTCTTTCGAAGTATTTTATGTTAATGTATTTTAAGTTATTGTGAATTACGATTATATGTTCTTTTGGTTTGTAGTATTTTTCATTGTTTATGTAGGTATATATTATAGCAGTACATTAACATGGTCAATACTTAACCAATCCTGTAGTAAGTCAAACAAAGAACCTTAATATGTTAATCTTAGCTCAGAGGTATACAATACTTTCATTGTATTATTTTGAAGATTTATATAGGTTATAAGTACATTGTATTTTTTCAATCGGTGTACTCATAGGAGAGCGGTGAGGAAGAAACAAACAAAAAGGATGCTAAGACACTAAAGCCATCCTTTTACAAAAATTTGTTTGGTAATATGCCACTAGTCATTTTACCATAACAAGACGAAAAAGAGATTGAAGTTATTAGATGCAAACCTACAGTTGAGTTTCCAAATGAAGATGAAGTCGTTGGAACTCAACTAGTTTCTTTTGCTGTAATCCGTATAACTCTTCTTTATATTTATTCTTTAAAAAGATACACAATTAATAACAATCATATGCATATACATATGTTATCTTCAACTGCGTGTCGATCGACCTCATATTGAGAAAATAATAGAAGAAGAAGTAATACTTGATAATGTAGACGATGGAAGAGGGAAAAGAAAAGAGAGAGAAGAATATGAGGTATTAAAGTCTTATTAGTAGTCTAATTTCTTTAAATAGTAGTCTAATTTGAATTTAGAATAATGCAGGAGGATGATATCCCAATAATTGAGAGATTTAATAAATTAAAAAGGGGTGTCAAAAAAGTAAAGAATGCGTCAAGATTTAAGGGGAATAATAAAGAAGATGATATATCAAATAAAAGGTGATTATGGTAATTTCAGAAGTATATTTTTAAGGAATATTGATTATTTTAATCTTTATTGAATTTCAGAAAATTAGAAAATCCGGACGTCAGGATAGAAGGAAAAATTAGAGATATGATAAAGGGAACTTTATTGGATAGAAATGGGTAGATGTCTATGATGTATGTATTATTTATCCATGGATTATATCGTATTTTTAAAAAATATTATATGTATATAATTACATTAATGTTTATATTATGTTCAGGAGGCTTCATTGTTACTTCTAAGCAGAAGTGGTTAAATATGATGAAACTTCAAATATACTCAAAATTAGAAGTGCTGGAGAAAATTAAAGACGATCTGTCAAAAAAAACATCTAAGAACACTTATAATACATGTTTTGGTAGGTTCTTAGATGTTAAGATTAAAAAATATCCAGTCCAACTAATTAGTCACATAATTAGAAGACAATGTAGCTCTTCCTCAGAAGATGGAATTAATTTCAACTTTGAGAGCAAGGTGGTACATTTTGGATTACAAGAGTTTGAGGTTATCACTGGTCTAAAATGTGAAGACTATCTTCCGTGGACTTCAAAAAACTGAGTAAGAGATTCTTCAATAAATATTTCAACAACTCAACAATTCATGTGAAGAGGGCAACGATAAGCACTTTATTTAATTCAATGGATGTAGTGAAGAATAAGGACAATGTTAAGATGACACAATTATTTCTGTTGTTAAATTTCTTATTTAGTAAACAAATAGTAGAAGGAATTGAAGGTGGAATATATCAAACTTCTTGATGACGCTGAACAGTTTGAGAACTATCCGTGGGGACGTGTTTGCTATAATTCAACAATCGACTCTATAAAGAAAGCAAGTAAAAACAGTTATGCATCTGTTGTGGGACTATCTGGAATGTCGTTAGCATCGCTTATTTGGGCATACGAATGCATATCATTGCTTTCTTCAGGGGAAACAAAATATGTCAAACACGTATCTACGATATACCACTAATGGTAAAGTGAGAGACTGGTGCACAACCGGAATGGCAGGATACAACGATTAGAATTTTTTAGAATGAAGAGGTATTATTTTTTTATTTATTAGCTTTTAGTTATATTTTCAATTTAGAAATTGATGACTAATAATGTTATGTTAATTTTAATGCAGTTTAAGTTTGAAAATATGTTCGAAGAAGATGAGGTTGCACCAATTACATGTAAAACATGAGTTTTTTAGGAAGGTGAACCATCAAATAGGAATTCGTCACATTTTGGATCGAAAGAAAGCTATATTCCTCCATTTTTTGAGGAGTTTAAAGAGATGATATTAAGTAGTCTTGAGAACATAAATTGTAAAATCGATACACTATTTTCTGAGATTAAGAGTGTTAAACGAATGGTGAATGAGAATATAACTATTACCGGAAAGGAGGATGGCGACGGTGGTGGGGGTGGTGGTGGAAGGGATGGTAAGAATGATGGTAATAAGGGTGGTGAACGACATGCTGAAAACTCTAAATAATATCAACAAAAGGACAATGGATCAAGAGATAACGCAGTGACAACTATTAGTGAGAATGATGGAGATAATAATAACGTGAGTGTCTAAAATAAATAGTTGTATTATGTAATTTAGTCTTATTACGTTTAACATTCAGAGTCTTTCAAGGACATATGTAAAGCTATTTACTATGTTTTACATTTTGCAAGGAACTCAAAGTTAAAGAAATCAAAGAAGATCTAATGGAGGATGAGTTCGCATGCACTTAATTTTTAAATGAGTTTGATAGGATAGAAGAGACTGCTTAACAAAAAAAATGTTTGCTTGTTTTTATATTTCTTTTTTATAATGGAATTCGATAGTATCATTCTTTGATTAGTTGCCCATCCTTTTATGTTATGCTTCATGAATTGATGAAATTCAATCATTCAAAGATTATCTACAGGGGCATG